AAAAAAAAAAAAAAAAAAAAAAGACTCGTGAGGAGGAGAGAGATTCAACAACCAATGAAAGAACAAGCTACAAGGAAAGCCCTTAGACGTGCTAAGACTCCATAAATGAAAATCCCTCCTCCTAGGCATAAACTCTAACTCTTCAATGAAAGAAAGGAGAGTTAGAACCTCCGTTGTCTCCCTATCAAACAATGCATGACGCAACCCGAACAAAAAGAAAGAGATCTCCCAGAAAAAGGCAAAACATTAGCCACAATGCGACCTTTCAGAGAAGATAAATGATATAAACAAGGAAACATAAAGCGGAGGGGAAGATAAATGATATGACAGTGATGTATATTTTCTGGAATATATGTAACCATCCAACGGATTTTCCAATTTTATTGGTAGCTGATATACATCTATTGCACTTGGGTTTTGGAAGAAGCATCTTATGCCACATACATTTCACTCTGGAAATCTTCTATTTCTAGATAGATTGTTAGGTGGAATCTATGTGGATAATGAGGAAGTTCTAGATTAGGAAACTAGGCATAACTGCTGCTTTTGGGTGGCCATTAACCTGCATAGGTAGCCTTCGGAGGGGAGGCTATATCATGGACCATGGTAGAAATTGGAAACTCATGGACCATGGTAGAAAGGAACCTGACAAGCTAGCTAGATAGAAAAATATGGCTCCCTCTAGAGGAGGCTATATCACTTTGTTACAATCAAGCCTTATCAGCATACCAATAATAATTTTTTATCCCTTTCCTAGATTTTTGAGTATGGTTGTCAATATTATTGAAAGGAAAATGTGAAAGTGGCACGCTGCTCTCTGCATTGACGTAGGCTGCTTGAGCTTGAGAAACCTAAGCGAGAATATTCTTGCTTTCTTAATGAACGTGTTGATCTTAATACAAACTGGATTCCTTAAGGCTCTGTTATAGCTAGCAAATTTTGAAGTCGATGGATTTTCTGGTTTTCTGCTATTAATAATGGGATTAGCGGAAGAGGTTGGACGTTCCTAAAAGTTTATGTTGGATGATGCATCATGTACTGTTTTTTGGGAGATTTGTGGATTACTAA